GGAGATAAAGGTGATTAAAAGTCTACAGCTAAATACATCTTTATGTTCGGTGAAGCACCAATCTCATGGGGCTCGAAGAAGGAACCCGTAGTTGCACTCTAGTTTTCTGAGGTCGAGTATATTGTCGCTTCGTTATGTGTGTTTCAAGCCGTATGGATAATGACTAATGAATTTATTAAAAGAGTTACACAACAATGAGGGTGAGGCTGTCACACTTTTGATTGATAATATTCCAGCCATTAATCTTATTAAGAATCCAATTGCACATGGGAGGAGCAACCACATTGAAATGAGGTTTCACTATTTGAGGGAGCTTGTTAGTGAAGGCAAGTTAAGATTGAGATATTATAAAAATGAATATCAAATTACTGATTTGTGAACTAAGAGAGTCACAAATGATGTTTTTAAAAGGTTGAAGATGAGCATCGACTTGAAAGACTTGGAGAACTTGAATTAAGGTGGTGTGTTGAGAGAAAACTAATAATTCAAGTGATGTAATCGGTTAACACGGGGGTGTAATCGGTTACAGCTGGAAGAAAAACACTTCTGGACAAGGAAAGTTGTTTCAGAGTTGTGTTACCCGGTTAATCAAATGCCTTTAATTAGTTACACCTGATTGTATATATTTTAGTTTTGTCAGCTGTAACCGGTTAACAACTTGTGTTAACCAGTCACAACCCTGAGTTTTGGCTTTTTCTTGTAATTTGTTGATGTGTTTTAGGTTCCAATCATTTTGTAACACTTGTTGAAATGCCTTGGAGGAATTCTCATCTCTAGTTAATAAAATTGATCATTCTCACCCTCAATTCTCTCTCTCTCTCTCTCCCTCTCTCTCTCTCTCTAATTCTCTCTTACCCCTCACTATCTTCTTCTCCACATACCCTAAACCCTCCATTATTCACCAATCGTGTGATTGCATGTTCCAACAAAATGAATCTCTCAGGCTGGAGGATCATCCAGCAGTTAAAGAAATAATAAGGTTTAATGACGATTCCGACGCTGAAATTAAAGCAGTGATTTTGATAATGAGATCAGAGGTTGACATTGTTAACCAAAGATATCTTCGAAAGAATTCATCGATGCTAAGAACTTGGTGAATTCAATGTGAACTTTTACGAGAATTAGAGGTCGATTCTCACAGACAGCATCATTATTTTAGTGTGGATTAGAAGATTCATGATGTGAAGAGACTGAGGTTTTTTTTGTACAGTGGTGCGAGTATATGATGCGATGGAGAAGTTGATATATGAAAGTTTAGAACTCCAACGATGAAGTAAATGAGGTCAGAGTTGTATAACTTTGCTATAGTGAATGAAAGAATACCTATTATGATGTGTGATTGAGCTTATATCTATCCCAATTTAGTATGACATGGGGTGTGGGTGACTATCTAATCAAATAGAACATCAGGTGGTGAACTAATAGCTTGTATCTAATGTGTGGTATTTTGGCAAGGATCTATCTGTTTAGGGAATTTCTTAGTACACCCTTATATGGGTGAAAAAACCTATGAAAACCCCAAAATATCCTTCAGATATGCATATCTGAACGAACCCCTAAATCAATTTTCAAGATGTTTCGCATATGCATATCTGAAACCCCCTTGTTTACACATTATAATTATTTAAATGTTGGATTTAAACATTAAGTGGCATTTTCGGATATGCATATCTGAAAATACCTTTATTATATAAGTTTGCTTCATGATCACCACTACCACTATTTCATTCCTTTTATTTCCTCACATAACCAAAACCTACCATAAAATCTCAACCATTTTTACTCATCTTTTCGTCTCCATACCAAGTTTCAAGTGTTTCATCATATCAAAGAGAGCATAGAAAGCTACAATTTTAGGTAAAAATTCCTCATTTTGTCTCTCATTTCCTTGTATTGATATTGAGTTTTGGTTGAAAATACAATGTCACTTTAGATATGCATATCTGAAATCGACCTAATATATTTGGGATGTGCATATCCGAAAACACGTCTGTTACAAAAACATAATTTTGTCTTGAATAAATTTTATGTTGTTTCCCGTTTTAGATATGGTGCACTCCGACATGTTTTTCAAAGTTGTTGTAAAGGATTCAGACAAGGTGGATGAGGATGCTAAGCCGAAAGAGTTGAAGGATGACGTTAAAACGAATATTATCGCGACAGATGTTCGACAATAATTTACAAATGATCAAATTTTTAGTGTTCGTCAAAATATGCTCGAATGAGTGCGAATTAAAGCTAGCAAACTCGGGTTTAGCATTGTGATTGGAAGGTATGACAATGGAACTAGTAGAAGGCAAGCATTTGTAACGATGACATGTGAGAGAAGTGGAAAACATGTTCCAAAAATTCAGAAGTTAGAATATAATCGAACCATTTTTAAATGTATTGACATGCACAATATAAATTCTATACGATTCAATACATATATAATATGTCTATTCAACATTTTACCGATGTTTACGATTATCGATTAAATTTTTTCGACATTTCGATGGTACTGATTCTGATAAAATTTAATTTGTCACTGGTTCTGCATATTTCGGATATGCATATCTGAAATAACCTATATTCTTTATAAAAAAAACAAAACAAGATTTATTTTGGATATTCATATCCGAACGAACTTTCATTTAAAAAAAAAACAAAATAAGAGTTATTTATGATATGCCTATTCGAAACCCCCTAATTTCGTTAAAAAAAGGTTAATTCAGATATATATCAGAAACATGCACTAGGATAAGGTTTATTGGGTTCAAATTTCTCCATCTCTTCTATAAATAGTGTCTCCAAACCATTTCTTCAACATCAGAAACCACAAATAGAGATGAGTAAAACATATTCTCACCTTGCTTTTGTCTACTTCAATGGTAACATGTCGCCACTTCAGTTCCGAGTCTCCGAGGACACACCTCTCGTCGGCTTGATTATCACAACTGAATTCTCTCTTACAATATCCAGAAAACCGAAAGATGATCAAGGTTGATTATCATTCACCCTCACTTGACACCAAAAGGTAAGATAAGGTTCATCAAGTTTGAGCTGAAGACGGATGACGATTTAAAGATTATGTGGCGTACTTTTCAGCGATACTCTACTAAGGGTCTGATTGAAGTAGATGTGAAGCTTCAAAGATCGGGTGAAAAAGATGTTAACAAAATGTTGCAACTGCCTCAACTACCCATTTATAACAATATGTAATGTTAAATTTATGTTCAATTATATATGTAATTTCGATAATTTATGTTAAATCTATGTTAAGTTGGTTTTCTTTCAAGGGTTTTGATTCATTCACTAGTTCTACATATTTCAGAAATGTATATCCGAAATAAAACTTTGGTATCTTTGGATATGCATTTTCGAAACTATTTGATAAAAATGAAATATGGTGAATTCGGATATGCATATCCAAATTCAGAGGGGGTATTATGAGAATCTTGTCAGGGGCCTCTAAGAAGGTACAAGGGTGTATTAAGATATTCCCATTTGTTTATTGCTCTCTTGTAAAGGTATTTCTGAATTGTGCTTTTGGTGTTAGACCGGTCTTGTTGGGCCTTTAGTCGGCCCAAAACAAGTTAAAATAGTTTTTTTCCGCATCTTATACTAGAGAATTTCTTTGTACACCTATTAGTGTTGATTTACACCTCTGGAAATCTGAAAGTACCCTTCAGAAATGCACATCCGAATGCACCCTATTATTGTAAAAAATGTATATTTCGGATATACATCTCCGAGTAAACCAATTTTTTGCGAAAAAATGTTTACGGATATACATATCAGAAATATTCACTGATATGTTTTTTTATTAATTACAAAAGGAATATTGACAATTAGTATTTTAGATCTCTCCATTTAATTTCCATATTTGTATTTTAGACACTTTTAAAAAAAATACTGTTAATGAAATATTTTACTGAATGAAATTGATTTCATTATTAAAACAAATCAATTTGATTGTCATTAAAAATAAATCAAACAACTCATCACACTTGATTGTCATTAAATTATTCAATAAAAATATTACAAAATATTTTAATTTATTTAACTATGGTTATGAAGTTACACGATTAACTTTGAAAATATTATGATCTTTTATTTGTCATTATCATCCACATAAAGTAACAAATGACAACAAATAGTAACAAATATTATTTCTATTGATTATTAAAATATTTCAGATATGTATATTCGAAAACACCCTAAAGACGAAATATTGAGTTACTTCAGATATGCATATCCGAAAACACCCTTAAAAAACTGAAATTCAATGTGTTCGGATATACACATCCGAATATTAAGAGTACTTTAGATTTTTCGCCAGAAACCTGCAAAAAGAGCACTAGGTGTACAAAGAAATTATCCTATATCATAAGGTGATATGCTAAATAGGCATGTAAACTTCTACCTAACTTTCATATAAATAATCAATAATTAAATTGCATACGAAATTTAAGATAAAAATGAGTACATTTAAGATGTTTTGGATCTCTAGATAACACCCATAAACTTGTGTATAATTCAATTCAACTTTCATCAATAATATTTGTACAACTATAAAATGACAAACGGGGTTACTTTTGGAGTACTTTTTTCTTACTATCTCTTGGTAATGGTACATAAGTGCAATGTGTGTGTGTTTTTTCTTCTTTTTGTTGGAGCAGTGAAATATTAAGTTGTAGAAACATCACTTATGAAGATAATACATGATGCAGATGCTTCACAGTTCAATTCTACTGGTTAGATGCATATGACTGACTATATATATTGATTGCGTAGCATTTTGTAAAGTAAATATGTGTTTCCAAATTTAAAATTCTTTTACTCTATAATCTATCTATGTCCATAAACTTGAGACCTTCACAAGTAGTTTTGCTGAGCCAGATGTGCTCAAAATCAAAAGCACATATATTTCAAGTCTACAGGGATATGCCTATTGGAACCAAAATTTCTAAACTAAAGGAATATTATATACATTGATTAGTATATACACAAACTCTATTCTATTCTATCTCTTCTATGGTTTGCGATTGCCTTTTCCTTGCTGATGAAAGTGCAGCTACGGCCTCTCCAACTGTCAAGAAAAGGTAATCTGGTCGTACGAAATCGTTATCTTCATCTGCTTTTTTCAGCTTTTCAATAACCTCAGCTAGAGGATTCACCAATATAAGCTGTCATAAATTGTTCCAATTAGTCATAGTTCATATATGGATTCTAAACTGTCAAGGTGCGTAAGTATTGGTGCAGACGAACGCTAGACACGACACTGATATATTGATACCGATATTAAAGTTGAGAAAGTAAATTAATTGAGTGTAATCACATATGTCAGTGGCAGACATCAGACACGCCTTCATCAAAAGTGTCGGTACTTGATGGGCGTAGATGAATAAGCTTGTCATAATTCAGCAACCTTACCTCGACACCTTTTATTTCCAATGCTACTTTCAACTCCTTGAAAAGTGAAACTCCACTTGTGTCTATGGAACTCACAGCTGAAAATTCAAAGACCATATCATTTATGATTGAATGTGTATGAAACATGTTAAGCAATATGCTCCAAAAAATCTCATTTCTAGCTACTTTAAGGTCAATTTGATGATGGAGTTACCTGACATTTCAAGAATCACATATTGAAGGCATGAGTTTTCTGTTTTGGTGTCCTCTTCTTCTTCTATCCACCGTAACATCCTAATAACAAAAATCAATGGTTTAATTAACTGAGAAAACAAAATCGAACGCAGCTAAAAAAGTTAGAAAAAATTGATGAATATCTTGAAACCAACCTCTCATGGAGATATGTAATATTAGCAAAATTGATTGGAGCCTCTATACTCAAAATTAGAAAACCAGGTACTCTTGTAGCTTCTTTATAATGGTGAATATTTCTATATATGGTTGTCGCTGGTATGTTCCCTAACATTGCTGTCTTAGGCCTTGTAATTTGCATAAGGATCCTAAAAATTGACAATCCCACCTGGTTAACAAGATGAACATCTTCCATTGTCAATTATGATTCATTCATCAAAGAGATCTTAGATTCTTTTTTACCGAATATTCATCAGAGTTACAAATTAGTTATATTAGTTAGAAGTTTGTTGTTTTCATTGACTATATAAGTTTCATTTTGCCCGTAATCATTTTAAAACATGTTGTAGAACAGACGAATGAACTTACCGCGAGAGCGAGGCCATATTGGACAGAGATGAAAATAACACCCAAAAAAGCAGTCAACAACACAATGAAATCGAATTTGTCGAGCTTCCAAATGAGAAGAGCAGCAGGGATATCAATAAGGCCAACTACTGCTGTTATTATGATTGCACCCAATACAGCATTAGGCGTGAATCGAAATAACGGCATAAGAAAAAGGAGTGTCACCATGACTGTCACAGCCATTACTAAGTTCGACATCGCTGTTTTTGCGCCCGCGTTATGATTTACAGCTGACCGAGAAAAAGATCCTGAAAATTTAATCAATTAAATAAGTTAATTACGCGTTTATCAACACGCTTCATTAGTTTTATTAGTTTTTAGAGTACAAAAATTAACAAGAACCTGTTGTGACATAGCATGATGTGGTAGAGCCAACCACATTCATGAACCCAATTGCCATCATTTCTTTATTTCCATCCAACTTGTAGTTTCTTAGAGTTGCAAATGTTCTCCCCACTGCAATTCCTTCCTGTTTCATATACTTATCCATTAATATTTATTAAGGTTCAAACGTTATTCGGTACACATACGGTTAAATATGTTTTTAATGCCTATAAATACCTCGTAAAAGAGAGTGAAACTTACAGTGAGTGCTAAAATGCCACTGACAATTCCGGTTTTGATGGTTAGGCCAAGATAATCTCCACTAAAAAGCAACATGTCGGCTGAAGCAGGATTTATTCCTTGTTGCAATTTCCCAACCTAGTAAATAACATGACATTGATTTTTAGCTAAGAGCTTACTCAGAATAATGTTGACAGAAGAAGCTTTAATTAGTTAGGAGGGAGAGACTTACTATACTGATGCTATGTTTTTGACCCTTGATTACAAAAGTGAGGATAGTGGAGATGATGACACATGCAAGAGGAGCTCCAGCTGACACCCAGAATAACTGTGGCTTCCTTATGCTCTGCACACATTTTCCATTCTGTTTTAGCTCTGAAGTTCCAAGTGTTACTTATATAAAAATTATATATAATTTCAATACACATTATTAAATATAAATTCTGCTAGTTAAGATTAATTCAAATTGTGTTGTTGAGTCTTATTCTCTCTTCCGATTCTGTTCTTGATGTTTACGTTCCAGCAAAAACAACATTTAACTTAATAATTACAACAACAAAAAATTAGAATAAAGTCTTACAATTTGTCTTGCAATCAGAAGTATCCCTAAGAAGGAAGCCCCCATCACTATTGTTTCCCATGACCACTGCACAAAAACCACAAAAAACATTATTGAAAATATACTACCTTTTTACTAGTTATAAAATTGTCCCTAAATAAAAAATTCCATCTTAAAAATCAACCTCATGAATATTGTCAAAAACAGAACACATGACAGGAATAATAGCCATCTTTTTAGTGAAATGTGTGATTCCAAGTAAAGCCTTTAGCTGTTGCAGAGACACAATTACAGCCGCTCCAGCCGTAAACCCAAGTAAAATCGCCTTCGATAGAAAATCAATGATAAAACCCAACCTGTAATCCAATCATTCAATATAACCATATACACACATATACTATTATATATATTGTGATTAATTAGTTAGTCATTTACCTTAAAATTCCAAGAGTAGCTTGAAAAATACCAGCAAAAAACGTTGAAGTAAAAGCTAACTGAATGAATAGATCAGACTGTGTTGTGGGAGACACTTCCTCTGCAATCATGAATCCCATCACAAGAGACGCAATGGAAACAGGTCCTACAGCAAGATCTTTGGAGCTTCCAAGAACAACATAAACTAACGGTGGAACAAAACTCGAATCTATGATTCATACACAAAAAGTAATCTATAATTAGAATAAATTTCCACTCACATTATCATATTCAAACTTATTATAACAACAATTAACATACTTACAGAGTCCTATAATCGGAGGAAGAGTTGCAAGCTTGGCGTAACTAATTCCTTGCGGAATGGCTAAGCTGGCAATAGTGAGGCCGGCAACAAGATCAGATTTAAAGAGATTGAAACTGTAATTAGGTAACCATTGAAGAATAGGGAAAAAGTATTGAGCTCCAAGGATGAGTTTGGTGTTGAGAGTTTTTCCTTTGAATTGTCGTATAGGATCGTCGGGGAAAAAGGTTTCCTTGAGTTTGATTTTGATTCTTTGTAGAGTGCTTACGTGTGGTGGTGGAACGACTTGGTGCACATCTATTGTTATTTCCACGAAATCTGAATGCATAACGTTGCTGCTAGTACTAGTACTAGGCTCGTCCATATTGGAATTACGTCGAATACCTTAGGAGCATGAGAATATGGAGAAAATTAGGAGATTTTGTGTAATGTTTTCTTGATGCATGCATGAGAGTAATGGTGCATGGAGTTGATAATTTTTTTTCTCCAGAATTTTAGCATAGAAATGTTGTTAGTTAACACATGGCGTGTGATGCTAATGATGAGTATGAAGTCTTTTTGCCATTCATTGTGTTTTTCTTTGATTCGGAGTTAGTGGAGGAGATGTGAGTGAGAATTTGAGGGAGGGAGAAAATCGGGGGAGTTCAGATCAATCACATTTTCTTTTTGTTGATTGTAAAAAATATATTGTATTTTTTAATTATACATATATATTTTTTAAATATCTTAGTTTAATATTGTATATTAATTATACAAGGTATAAATAATATTGTGTTGCTTTCCTTAAATATCTTTGTTTAATTAATATATAATGTATAACTGCTTGAATGAATTGAAGTGTTTCTAAATGAAATTGTTATATAAGATGATGATTTTTTTCAATATTGCTCTTTCATGTAATTGAAGTTTTCGATGGTTTATTTTGATAGATTTGAATAATAAATAAGATAGTTTGAGAATTGAAGTATTTAATGAAATTTGATTTTTTTAAAGAGTTTCTTAATCCACCTCTAAAATATGAGAATTTAATAGAAGAATCATTTCAATGATAATCTAGTCATGTCTGGCTGAATAACTTCAAAAAGAAAAGGAGATTGAATGTCAATAAAGAGAGATGAAATAGGAATTAGACTAAATAGGAAAAGGAGATTTAATATATATATATATAAAAGTAAAAAATAAATAATTTTACCTTTCCTAAACTTATTTAATTGCATTGTGTTACACAAGTAAAGTCATATTAACCCTAAATTACATACACAACACTCCTCATAAATCATATCAGCTAACTTTCTCATTTTCATTTGTTTCTTTAGGTAATCAAACCTTGTTTTCTTCACAAATTTGGTGAGTATGTATGCAAATTATAGTTCCGTCTTGCAATATTCAGTTTTCAACTTCTTTTTGCTCACTTGGTCTTTCAAAAAGTGTTATTTTTTCTTAATATGTTTGCTCCTACCATGACTCATTGGATGATTAGCCAAATAAATTATATATTTGTTATCAACCAACAATTTGATCTTTAATTTTTCTGTGATATTCAATTATTTCAATAGCATTTTCATCTAAAGTGCTTGATAAGCTTCATATGAAGCTGCTACATATTCACTTTCACTAGATGATTGAGTTATTATGTCTTACTTTTTTGAGCTCCATGAGATTGGAGTCGCTCCAATCATGAAAAGGTATTTTGCAGTAATTTTTCTATCATGTTGAAATTGCATTTACATCCTTTGTATGCTGAAATTGCAACCATTATTCTTATGGTTCCAAGCCCTGCAACTAGTGTATACCACCTCATTGAAGTCAATTACAGGCCTTTGAAGGAAGTCTTTTGTAACCAGTCTTGCCTTGTACTTGCCTATCTCACCATTTGGTCTAAGCTTAAACTTATAGACCCACTTGACATTTATAGCTTTCTTGTTTGACCTATTTACTAACTCCCCAGTTTGGTTCTTCTCAATTTCTTTGAGTTCACCCTTCATAGATTATTGTCAGCTCTCATCTTCTAGTGATTGGTTTTGGTCAATTGATTCTGATTCAATCATCATAGTTTTTTATACAAAGTCCCCTTCTTCATATATTGTTTGGTTTAGAAATCTCTCATAATCAATTAATCTTATTGACTGAGTTCTTAATCTAGTTTACTTTCTTACCTCATTTTCTTGTGCAACCTCCTCTACTTGATCTTCTTTTAGCATTAATTCATTATGCATTGGATTACTTAAAACTTTCATATAATTCCATCATTTTCTTTCATCAAATGGTACATCCCTACTTATTACCACTCCATTCTTATTTGATGAGAGTAGTTTATATGCACTTATTGAGTGATACCCTATGAGAATCATAAATTGACTCATGTCATCAAGTTTAATTCTTAATTATTCATGTACATGTCTAAAACAAAGTGATCTAAAAATTATGAAATGGCCTAAACTTAGCTTCAGACTTGCCCAAGCTTCATATGGTGTCTTATTCCTTAGCTTATTTTCCAAACACCTATTGATAATATGCACATCAGTTGAAGTTGCTTCACCCCATAAGTTATTTGGCATTTGTCTTGCTTTAAGCACTCTTCTTACCATATTCATTATGCTCATATTTCCATCTCAACAATGTCACTGTGTTGAGGTGTGTGAGGAGCTATAATTTCATTCTCAATGCCTTATTTCTCACAGATTTGTGTAAAATCATTTGAAACGTATTCACGCCATACATCAATTATCTTATTTTTTATACTACAATCAACTTGTTTTTAAACCAACAACTTAAATTTCTTGAACTGTGTGAATACTTTAGTTTTATTTCCATAAAATAAATCCACATGTATCTAGTGAGTTCACCTATGAATGTTATAAAGTAGAACTTAACTCCTATTGATTTCACTTCAAATGGTCCTCATACATTTGAATGAATAATATCCAAAAAATTCTTAGACTTATAGGCAAGTCATGTGTGAATGAGTTCCTTGCTTGCTTGGCCGCACAACATTCTTCACACAATTGTTTTAGCACTTTAATCAGAGAAAGACCATACATATTTTTCTTCATATAAATCAATCCCAATCTCCTAAAGTTCAAGTGGTCATATCTTTGATGCCATATCCAGTTCTGATCATTAGTAACTATTAATAAAAGACATTGATGGTCAAGCATATTATCATAATTTTGAAAGTTTCGTTGTGTTGAAAAAGGTGCTTTCAAAATTATATTTGCATTTAAATCAAATACATTTACCTCCTTATTTGGTAACTTTATGGTGTATTTTTTTATCAAGAAACGAACCCAAGCTAATAAGTTAATTTCCATAGAAAGACCATATATCACATAATTGATTATTACTTCTTGTCCATATTTGCTCTTCACAATAATGTTCCCCATGCTCTAGGATGTGACATAAATATAATGACTCTTCTCATTGATTAATCAAGTCTGATAAACCAACCCTTATTTCTAGTCATATAGTTGCTACAACTTGTGTTAAGACATCATGCATTAGTCTTATCTTGTGCCAAATGTGTATTAGTCATATGCATAACTTCATGAGAATCATTATTTCCTTCGTGTGAAAATTGTGCTTCTTTTATATCACTTGTATTGGTGTCTTTGTTGAAGTAGTAATTTATTGTATAATGACCTAGTTTTTACAACAATAGCATTAGACCTCCTCCATATCGATCTTATTCTTGAACTTCTTACTCTTAGAGGCAACAACGTTGCTTGAATCCATTTTGGTTCCTTATGTTCTTGCCATAAGCACCTTCATCATCCCACTTCTTCCTTTTCTGTTTTTCTTTTCCTTTTCTGATCTTTGATTCATTATTCTTCATATTCTTGAAGAACCTTGATTGTTAAGCTTATTCTGTGACTTTCTTTGAGTTTATCTGTTTCAATTTCATTTCATGAGCTTCAAATGAGGCTTTTAATTATTCAAGCTTTATCTCGGAAAGATTCTTGGACTCTTCAATAGACGTGATTATGTGATCCAATTTGGGAGATAAAGATCTCAATAATTTTCTAATATTCTACAATTCACTAATGTTTCACCATAAATTTTTATTTAATTAGTCAACAATACGAATCTTGAGAAGGAATTTGTGACATATTCATCATCATTCATTTGTGTGTTCTAATATTACTTTCTCAATGGATACAACTTCACCTTCTTCAGTTTTTCATCACAGTCATATAGTTTCTTAAGTGTATTTCATGTACTCTTAGCCATTTTTCTTATATAATCTTCTCAAAGATGCTCAAATCCATACAATTATTGATCAATAACAAACTTTTCCTATCCTTCTTACTCACATGAAGATGAGCATCCTTATGCGCATCAATTGCTTTGGCATATAATGCAAGTAAGTCATCATTCACTATTCCAAGAACATCTTGAAATTTGAATATGATTCTAATTTTCATGCACCACCTATCATAGTGTTCTCCTTTGAACATTGGTAGGTTTGTTGAGAATTAGTTTGAGGTTTTGTTTCCATTTTCCATTGATGAAATCTTGATCAAACCAACACTCTATGAAACCAATTTTTTTAGATGACTTGAAAGAATAAGAAATTTAATGGTAATAGAGAGAGATAAAGATGAAACAAGACTTAAAATTAGTGAATTATATGAAGAAAAATATATTGATTGAAATTAATCAAGTAAGTAATATAAGCTGACTATATATACATGTAGAAAGCAACTAATTCTAACTAACTTCATATGTGTGATACGGTGGGAGAACTGACTTGAGGTTTTGCGTTTGTTTTCGCAAATGTTTCGGTTGAGCAAGAGTCGCCACCGACTTTTTATTTTATCCTAAGGAAAGGTTAAAAAGCACAGCAAAAACCTTTGAGATGTTTTCTTGGGTTCGGGGAGTAGATTATAGAAAGGGAAGGTATTAGCACCCTTTCTATCCATGGTTATCCATGGGCTCTTAGTTACTCGCTTAGATCAACTTGCCTTAATTTTCAATTGTTTGAAATGGTGCTTTGTGTGTGGATTTTGAAAATGTTTTGAAAAGAGACCAATGTGGTGGCGACCTTTGTAATGATCCATGTTGGGATGTATACAAAGGTGTATGTCTTTTGAAAAGGTTTTCAATGTTTTTGAAAGTTGTTTTGAAAGTGTAGTGATGTGTGGTTTGAAAAAATAGGCAAGTGTTTTTGTTTTGCAAGGGGGCAAGTAACCAAGAGCTATCTACCCTAAATTTCTCAAAGATCTTTGCTATGTTTTAACCCTTTTAACAATTTTGTTCCACCATTGTATTTGGTGGACAATCTTGTGTTAGGATGTGAACGGGACGGGCGCGGGTCATCGTTTAGACCATGATTGCAATGGTGCCAAGTATCTTTGGGCAATTTTT